GTGTGAGTCCATTTCATGCCTGTTTCCTCATTTTCCGTTGTCTGTCGCATTATCCAATCTACTGCAATCAGGAAGATCATTGGTGATAGTAGACAGCCTTGTCTCACTCCCATCCTCACATCGAAGGATTCCGTAAGTTTCCCGTTGTGGATTACTTGGCATGCAGCACTGTCGTATAACTGTTGGATGAGATGTATAATTGTCGATGGGACCCCGTAGTAGCGAAGTAGTTGCCAAGTGACCTCTCGATCGACGCTGTCTAGTGAAGGCCTTTTCAAAGTCGATGCAGTTGAGTGAAGTAGAGAGGTGACTGCCATTCCAAGCTTTGTTCAATGATGATCCATAGAGTGACGATTTGATCAATACATGATTTGTTTCTCTTTGGTAGTTTGAATAAGTATCCGTTCTTCCAATCCTCGGGTACTTTGCCCTCTTTCCACACCTTCTCCAGTAGTGGCGTCATCAAGTCCGCTGTTGTCTCTGGGTCTATTTTCAAAGATTCTGCTGGGATTCCATCTGGTCCTGCTGCTTTCCCAGCTTTAAGCATCTTGATTGCATTCAGGACTTCTGATTTCGTCGGGGGTCAATGTTCACTGGTAGTTCTGCTTCCGTTGTTGGTATTGTTGGGCGCGTTGTAGGTGGCGGTCGATTTAGAAGTCTTTTGAAGTGTTCAGCCCATTGTTTTCTTTGCTCCACCTCTTTGGTGATTGACTTTCCATTGTCGTCCTTTATTGGCTTAATCTGTGTCGAACTTTTGCCCGATAGGTGCCTAGTTGTTTGGTAGAGTGTGGCGAGGTCTCCTTTGCCTGCAGCTTGTTCTGCTTCGTTTGCCATGGTTTCATAATATTTTCTTTTGTCTTCCCTGGCACTCTTCTTCACTCTTTTGTTCAGTGTATTGTAGCTTGCATTCAACTCCTGTTTTTGTTGCTCGTCAGTGCACTGGATAATCTTTTGTTTCACTGTCCTTCTCTCTTCTATTAGTTTCCAAGTGTCCATAGTGAGCCACTGTTTGTCCTGTCTCTTCTGTCTGCCTAGAACTTCCATGCAGGTTTGGCTCCACACCGTTTTCAAGTTGTCCCAGTGCTTTTCGACGCTGACCTTTTCGCTGGTGTTGATTTGTGTCTCGGCTTTGTCCTTTATGCTTGCAATGAAGATGTCCTTTGTAGCCTGGTCCTTCAGCTTTTGAGTGTTGAACTTGGCTTGTGGTCTATCTGCAGCTCCTCCTTCTCTGAAAGCTTTTAATTTGATTTGGATTGTCCCTTGTACGAGATAGTGGTCTGAGCCAACGTCTGCTCCTCTTCTTGCTTTTGTGTCCAGTAGGCTGCGCCTCCACTTCCTTGAGATTGAGATGAAGTCAATTTGGTTTTTGGTTTGCCCATCTGGTGACACCCATGTAGCCTTGTGGATATCTTTGTGTTTGTATACACTGCCACCAATCACTAGTTCGTTGAAGGCGCAGAAGTCGGCGAAGAGTTCTCCATTTTCATTCATTTCTCCGAGAGCTTCTCTACCCATGATGAGTTCCCTTCCTGTGTTGTCTGGTCCCAGTTTGGCGTTCATGTCTCCCATTAGTATTTTCATGTCGCCAGCTGGAGTATTGTCCATTGTTGCCTGTAGTTGTCTGTAGAATTCTTCTTTCTTTTCGAGGTCTGCGTTGTTTGTGGGTGCATAACATTGTATGATTGACACTTTCCTTCCTTTGGAGTTGAATCTGGCGGTCATTATCCTGGACGAGATCGCCTCCCATTGCATCAGGGCCTTTGTTGCCGTTGGTGACATCATGATAGCCACGCCCTCGGTGTGCGTGTGGTTATCTTCTGGGTGACCGGAGTAGATCACTGACTCACGCGTTGACAATTTGGTGAGTCCACTCCCATTCCATCTGCTTTCACATATTCCCAGCACTTGGATTCCGTATCTTTTCATCTCGTTTGCGATCTGGGCAGCTTTGCCGGTCTCGTACATAGTGAGGACGTTCCATGTCCCAACACAGACTTTTTCTTTTGGTGCAAAGAGGTTCATCGTGCTGAAGTTTCTGTAGCAATTTTGTTTACAGGGTGGGGTTGCTAGCCTCACGCCTGAGAAAGGAATGGTTACATTAAGATAAAGTTTAGAGAGAAGCGACCTTTTGGATTGCTTCCCTTAAAATCGGATAGCAAGAGATAAAACAATCAGAACAACACCAGCAAAAGGAAAACAATTCACAACAAAAAGGGCAAAAAGCGACAACAACGATACAATACAACAACATGCAGTATAGTTCAGCACAGTTAACTAAAATGATACCAAAACCACAGACTAACGGCCTTGGAACAAATTGAACACAGATCCAACAATATATACAATTTTAGATATGAGTTTATGTTAAAAACTTCACAAATCCAAACAGTTAGTTATAGGTCTTATCTGTCAATAAGATTATATCCACAGTTTTAGTGTTCGAAAGGTAAATAATTGTAATAATTTCCACAAACTCTTGGCATGAAATTCTACAGAAACGAGAGTTTTTATCAGAATGCTTGCTTCATCACAATTAAAAGCAAGGATTGATCGATTCACGCCCCACAGTGGAGAATGACCTATCTTGACATTTTTCTGTTCACTGAAGTTCCTGTTGCAGCTAATTGATTTTCCGGGGTATGTTAACTAGTCTTCTTTCTATTTTATCCCTTTCTCCGGACTCAGGACCGGCCAGTTAACTAGTGAACTAGTAGACTAGACAAAAGAAGAGAGAGAAGATAGAAGTGATGGAAATATTCAAGCAACATCAACAGGAACTAACCACCACCAATAGTAGAAATTTGAAGAAAGTCACTTTCTCCACTTATCCAGGTGGCATCGTTTCAAGTACGGGGGCGGCACAGATGTCAAGGTCAAAGCCAAGATCGAAAAGGCAAGACAAATCTTTATTGGTCTGAAATCCGCTGCACTCAGAATAAGGACGTCGGTTCGGAATTTCGATGCTAGTACTAAATCTATTATTCTATATGATTTAGAGACTTACCGTGTCACTAAAAGCTTTTTGAACAGGCAGTAGCAGATTTTCATCAACCTGCCTACCTGCTCTGTCTGCTGAAGATCAGATGTCCAGAAAGGTGACCGGAGTAGATCACTGATTCACCCGTTGACAATTTTGTGTCTACTTGCATAAGCTATAATAATGTGCAAGAAAAATATATATAAATACGTGTTGATTTTCGTAATAAAACGATCTGTTGCCAGCCCTTGTCTTCTGTTGTTACAAATAAACCACTATTTATATGTACACAGTTTTATATTTTTTTAACCAATCACTGAGCGGGTGATTTGGTTTACATTAAATGATGTGAAATAGAATGTTCAAATAGATGTATCGTATTCTGTTGCTAGTGCAGTATTGAACTGTGGGAATATGTGAGAATAATATTCCGTTGGAACACATTGTCTGTATCACAACACTAAAATTCGAGCAACGACATACCATGGAGCAAAATATGAATGAATCCCACTTTTCAATTCAAGGGATCTTATATCCTTTTGACAGGTACGAATTCACGTCATTCAGTGTCGAAGTCAGAAATGTTATCAATAAACTATTCAGGATGTTACTGACTGAATCACACATATGAACTAATTAGTGTTAACTAATTCAATAATTTATTGAATTCTGTCGATTGATTCATTGTGGTGTTTATTACACAGTCTTACCATCATTATTCACCTTGTTTTGTGGTAGCCGGTTTAAGGCTACTGGTAAGTGAACATTGGTGTAAATTTTGAGCTCTCAGTCACTTGTCACTAAGACTTATTTGTTGAATTGAGATGAATGACATTCTCTCAACGAGCTGAAACCAGATTGTGGTGACAGTTGTCTGAAAGCCAAAATAATAAACAACAATTTATGTCAAACTTTACGTCCTGGATCGGGATCATAAGAAAAAACAATAACAAAGCTAATCCTTAAGGAACTCGACAACCAGTCACAACGAACTTAACTTGTGCAAATACTATTCTCAGATATATGGCTTAACTTTCTGGGAGACGGTCACAAGCAGTTTGGAATAACTTTGAGCAAGAAAACAATCAATCAGAAGACGTTGTTTCTCTGCTAACAATAATGTACATAAAAATCTATAAATATGGGTTGATTTTCTCAATAAACGATCCGTTGCCAGGCCCTTGTCTTCTGTCGTTACAACATTACCAGGTATCAGTTCTGTCGAATTATTTAATTTACCCTACGAATCAGTAATAAAAAACAAAGAATTTAGATTCAGAACTTTGTAGCAATCATTCTTAACCATACGGTATATGATTGTATATTTATTTATTTATTTAAACGCATAAAAACTTGGTACAATATGGAACCAAGAAGGATGCGCCACACAATAATAATAAAACAACGTAGATCAGAAGAAAAAAAGAAAGAGAAAAAAATATATACAAGTAGAGAACGCATAAAGAACTTCATCTGGAAGGAAAACAGTCATGCTTAACAAGTTCAAACAGTATTTGTTAATTATCATCGGGAAGAGAAGAAAGAAGGAAATTGCAGCACGTGTAATAGCACGCGATAAGTTTCATTGATTGTTTGTTGCTTCATTCAATTCATTGTGTGAGGGCTGAGATACTGCCCGGGCACCCAGACTGAAGCAGGTGGTCTTATTAAGGGACCACCCCCCGAGCCTTTGACTTGGAGTCTAATCCGCAAGGCAGCGGAGCAGCGTCAGGAGCTGCATTCCCATGGTTTCCAGTGGCCCATATGGGTTCATACGCCATATGATCCGATTGGATACTGGAGCCCATGTACCCCATGGTAACTGCTTTTAGTTTAACCGCTATCCAAACAATCTTCCTGACATGGTAGGACCTGTGGGGAAAGAGTTTCAGTCAGTTTAGCATGTTGGGTCATTACGGTATTCAAGCCCAACCACCACGACAAGGTAGCAATTATCGGCCGGGATATGATTGTATAACCACTTTAATATTCGATTTGTCCTTTTTTCTCTTTCACCTTACAGATTCCCTACTTACAAGACAAATTAATTGTATTCATGAAAGTTATCAAGAAAAGAAAACTTCACCCTACGAATCAAATTTAATTTCACCGTCAAATTTCTCAGAGCATTTAAATGAAATCCTAGCACCGGTATACATTCATCAGAAGGAGTTCATCAAAAACTTCAAAATTCTCCAAATATACAAACTACAGATTTATCTACAAGAGGCATAACAGCAATTCAATCCTCCAGTCTATCAACATCATCGAACCTGATGTCAACAGAACGATTGAATAATTTTTTAAATTCACAATCATATCAAACAAAAACCAACTTTTTGTGATCTTTCTTTTCATCGGTAGTTTGTTCCATCCATTGTGCAATTATACATCATTACTGAGTTTAGTAAGAAAGGTAACTCAATGAGAAAAATACGTAGGGAATCTTTGGTAATTGGAATTACTGCCGTAACGAGAAAAAGGAAGCTCTTCCTTAAAAAAGTAGTAGTATAACATCTGAAGGAAAGTAGTATTGTGCACGTTTTTATTTCGCCACTACAATTTTTCCCATAACTCCCTTTCTTGACGGGGGTTTCGACTTTTCTTTACCACACAGACGTACGCACCTTTATTTTCTCCTTGCACATATACTTACGAACATAATTAACTTTATACAATAGCACCCTAAGGTAATATAAATTCGTTTTTATTAGAAATTCATGATTTTCTTTTTTTTTTCTTGAAACATTTTATAATATCAGTTGACAGTTTCTCTTTTTTTCTCTCACAATAGTTAATGAGTTGTACAGATTTAACTTTATATAAAATGTACATAATATCTTCAATAAATATGTAACACAACTTAATTTCTTCAACTGAATTTTAGATTTTCCTGTCGATTGATTGGACTGAAGTGCTTGGTGTCAGGTAGATCCAGGTGACGAGCCCAAATGGGACGAAATTTGCATCCTGGATTCCACTGGTAGTCGCCATCCACCAATTAAACTACTTGATTTCGTTGAAAATATTCTTGAATTTTCCATGGAACACAAGGTTCAAGGGGTGTAGGGGGTAATGATTAAATTCGCATGAAAATACGAATCAAAACAACATTGTGGGGAGAATATTTTGAGGTTACGGGTCTAACACAAAAATAGAATTCGGGCAATACAGTGGTTATCATAGAATTTCTAATAGAGTTGGTCCTAACCAAATTTACTGACCTGTTACCAGGGGGTAATCTTTTTGACTTAGAGTATGCAGATGGTATCTTCCTTTTGGGTCAGGGTGCTGATAAAATTCAGGTTATTCTGAACACCTTGAACAGGAATCTTTGAATGTTTGGCATGCAATTCGCTCCTGTCAAATGTAAGATGATGCTAGAGGACTGGTCTTCACCGAATCCAAGCTTAAAGACAAGGAGTGAACTGACTTTGTTGACCATTTCATTAGTTTAGGAAATTGTATTGTGGTGAGAGATGGCTGCTAGCCGAATTGGTAGACAGTAATCCACGTCAATGTTTACGTCCCCAATATTGGTCGTGAGAAAAATATGAATAAAGAATGATTCAACAACCAATCACAGTAGACTTTGCGTAGGCAGATACCATTTGCAGATAGATAATCTGAACTTCAAAAAACAGTCACAAAGAGATGAGAGATTAACGTTCAGCGAGAAACCACCAATCAAAAGACTGTGTTTGTTTGCTTACAATAATCTACATGAAAATCTATAAATAGGTGTTGATTTCCTAAATGAACGATCTGTTGCCTGACCTTGTCTTCTGTTGTTACAGTATCAGTCCCAATGGACTGATTGCTGATGAAATATCAACGCGTATACAAAAGGCTCATCTGATATTTGACAACTTACGCCACCTTTGGCGTAGACGTGATAGCTGCCTATCGATCAGAAGACGCACGTACTGCACAGCAGTTCACTGTATCCTTCTTCATGAATGTTAGATATGACTACTGGAGGTGGAAGATATGAACAAGTTAGCTGTCTTTGACCACAAATGTTTGCACTATATCTGCTGTGTCGAACTGCACAATATGGTGATTAATATTGGTCTTCGATGTAGTGTTAAGTAAAGAGGGTAGGTCAATCGATCAGGTTGTACAACCAAATCGATTGAGATGGCTAGGATACACGTTACACATGTCAGGCTATCGTTTTACTCGACAGACAGTGTTAGCTGACATATGATTATGTTGGCAAAGAGTTAGGCCTAGTCAAACCGAATAATAATTTTAATAATAATTTTTTTTCCTTCACGTTCCCAGTGGAACATAGGGCTTCAAGCTAGTGGCTTGAAGTTTCTGTGGCAGTGTTTTTTAATTTTTACAGGATGGGGTTGCTAGCCTCATGCCCAGCCTTTCCCCTTTACCAGCATTTTTCTGGCTTAGTGAGGTAAAGGAGTGCGCCGGCCGGGGATCGAACCCCGGACCATATGCATGGTCGGCGAGCGTCCTAACCGCTATACCACCGACGCACAGTCAAACCAAAACGTGACATTAACCCATGAAGTCTATAACAGTTGGTTTTAGTCACATAGAGAGGGTGAGACTGCCTGGTTGCGGTCCTTACAATCCTAAGAGCCAATGGCTGTAGAATATTGGTGATATGGCTCAAAATAGTTCTTATAAATCTCTTTTTCTCTCTTTTACTTACCACTATGTGTTATATAGTGTTTAGAAAACTGAACTGCTGCACTTCTGTGTTGAAACTCTGTCAGTCAGCAATGTGATGGAGTATGACTCCATAACAGCAGAATTTACTGAACTTGGTACTAAGCGATGCAGTACTAATGTACTAATCAATAACGTCTCGAGCTCAATTTACTATTCATAGTCATAATATATTAATCATATAACCTTCTTACCCTTTTTATGTTTCTACTATTTACCATCCTTTGACCTAATCGGTAAAAATATTTTCCATACCTCCATTATGGATATTTGAGTCATTTTTAATCTATGTGTATGGTGTTGATACTATAAATAAAGATTCAGTGATCAACCATCTTCAAAAAAGCTATTCTATTGTAAAATTATAGGCCAACTGGGTTGACAGATTTGGTTGCTTAATATAACAGAAATGATGTTTTAATTACTACCAGAGGTATTAGAAATCTACCATAGTTAAAGTCCTGTTTTATGCGTTATATAAACCAAGGGGATGAAAGCTTTGTTTAGGAAGTCTGATTGTTAATTTTAATTCTACGAACAAAAGACTGTATATGGATGAATATATCAAAAGTGATTCTAATGCAGAAACTGTTAATCACCCTATTGTCCTATCAGTGGAGTTCCACATTTACTTTTACAGACAGAAGGAACCTTAAGTTTAAACTGGTACATCACAATTGAACTAAGGAAATTGCAAACAAGTTACAATTACTGATGTGATGTATATATATATAATACTATATCATTCGCCCCTTGAGTTACAGGTGAAACAGTGCAATCTCTCTGTTGTGTTTTATTCCTTAGTATTCGCAAACAAAAGAAGTCTACATGTTTATCGAAATGGACAGCTACGAATGCAACGGAGGGAATAATTATATACAGAAGTTGAGAATCTACAAGATGATAATGAGTGAATGCATGTGTACCGATATGAACTGTTTTAAGCAGTGTTAAACAGTCTCCAACACGATTACAAGCATTTTGAGGATTCTAGACAAGCAAATTACATCTACCAACATGTAAAGACTCACAGTCAATGACTAAATAGAATAATCCATGTTCTGTACTGATTATCTCAAGGTTTCTCCCAAGTTAATCTAAATCTAATTAAAATTACCCAGTAAGGAAGACGATGGTGTTGGTTCTCTCATTTTATGTACTTTTTAGAGGTGTGACAACTTGAACTGATGCTTTTCTGTGGAGATTTCTATGTTGATCTATGTCATCAGACGAATGTTCACAATGGATTTTATTGCTTCTTCCTAGGCTTACTGAACTTAGAGACAAACAAATTTTTTTTTATCAGAATTTAGGTTACAAACATTCGAGTAAGAAGCTAGATCCAATTAATGGAATTTGTTCAGAATACGACACTACAACCATACTTTAAGACTATAACAAACAGATTAAGAACCTCAAAACGTAAAGTATTTGGGGCTTGTTGGCATTTAAAGTACTTTCAAGAAATTAAAAAAAAACAACAACAAAAGGACTAGGTCAACATAAAGAGATTCAAATCAAAATGGGGCGGAAAAACAACGTACTTTTAGTATATACCACTGATTAACTGTGACGAGTAGCTGCATACCACTCACATCAATCAGTAGTGCTTGCTAGCCAGATCGAGGTAGTCTAAACACCGGACGGCCATTTTACCCGTTAGGTGCCAAGCTGACCAGTGGTGTACCTGGTTTGACGAAGCTCAGACAGCTAAATCAATTCAAACCACCCAAATTCTGGCTAGCTACTCGGGTGAACTCAGATCAAATTCGCAATGTACACAGTTCCAGCTGGTGAAATTACACCATAGTTTCCTTTGGAAACCCAAATCATTCAGATCACAGTATGTGATCTGGTTGATATCATAAATAATAATCATACAACGTAATCACCAACAAATAACTGCAGGGAGCACAGTCAAATCAGAGTATGGGTAAAAATACTCGTATAAGGGAATACTGTTATGTACTGGTCGAGAATTTAATAGTCCTGACGCCAGAAAGACGGAAATCAGAAGACCACTAGGTTTGCGATGATACTTCTATTTTCCAAAACACCAGGAGAATCAATATCACACAAGTGTGTGAGAGCAAAATATAAGAATGTCCGAACAAGTGTGTGAGCGAATATTCAAAATGAACAAATCAATAGACAGTCTTAACATGATTAGCTAATTATAATGGAATATCGATCCATATATACCTAGCAAATATAACAGACTGTCAAACAAGCACACATATTATATGGATACATATCAAATACTAACATAGTTAATTAACAAAATGTAATTTAGGGGACTGATCAACTCAAAACACCGATGTAGCAGCACGTTTAGTAAAGCACACTGTATACTACTTATTATTGATAAATAGTTGACATTCGGAGGTATAAAGCAAACAGCAGTAAGTGCAGAATAATAGCAGATTCAGAGGACAATTGACACAGATACATTATTACACTGAACATAACCAAATATGTTTAACGACAAAAGAGTGCAGTAAATTCTAGCTGGCACAATCAGCCTGTATTAAAGTGCCACAAAACCCCAGTTTTAACAAATCCTATATATATACATATATAAGATGTTTAAATTAGATAGAGTTAGGAGATACTACAGCACAACAGTGAAGTAATCCAGACACTTCGATACTTTATACAACCTGAACTTACCAACCAACGGTCCCTAAAATAGCGGGATTATCGAAAAGTATTAGGTATATAGGTGGTGGAACAACTCCTTGGGTTTTCAGTGGCTGCCTAATTCGTGTTCAAAAGTGAAATCAATCAAATCCCTTCAAATCAACACTTGAAAACAATTGAGTCATTAGTCATATCTCTAACGGTCATTTCCTGACTAGAACTTCCTCCAAAATTTCATATCAAACAGCTTTTAGTTCAGCAAAATATATGCGTCAAAAATAACAATTAACAAGAAAAACAGTTTTAACATTATTGCCATATTTTTCCTGCATCATTGTAAGTGAACACCAGTTGATGTAAAATAATTAGTATACAATCTATTGTAAATTTTCATAACTGTCCTGATACAATCATTCATCCTGATGGTACCTTTTAAATACAAGCTATTTATTTGAGGTTCATAATCAATGGTAGAATACTTATCAGCCAAACATGAGGCCCGGGTGTGGCGTATGCTTTTAACAATATTTTG